TTTTCTTCTCTGTCTTTAGTATTAACATTTGCACCAGCCTTGATCAGTACACGAACCACATTTTCAAAGTTACCAAGAACAGCATAAAACAAAGGAGTTCTCTTCCAGGATTCATCAGTGATATTCACATCTGCTCCAGCGTCGAGTAAGCCACGGATCTCACTTTCATTGTTATTCTTGACAGCATTAAACAGATCCAAATTTCCATCTTCTTCCGACAGACTCATTTCTTCTTCACCAAACACCTACTCCTGAGTTTGTTATCTCTTTGAACACACTGTACATTATTCTAGCGCCATGTCGTATTCCACTGTCTTGCCCATTTTGATCAGTACCTCACAGAACCTGTTAATTCTTTCAGTTGTTCTCTTCAAATGTAAGGAAGATCTTCTGATCTATAAAATCATATAAATTTATAATAATTTAGTCAATACATGACAGACTACGATGTTGAGATGTGGGGTAAAACTAGTGATTAGGGGATGGTGCGCATGCGTACGTGTACTACGAGTGCTAAAATATACACTTACCACTTTTTCTACGAGTAAAAATTGTCATTTAAAAAAAAACTTTGTTAGAAGTTTCTTTTTCATTATGCATTCTTTCGGAAATTAGAAAATAAATATAGTCTCGTGCAAAATTTGATTGTTGCCTTTTGAAGCAAGGTAGCACGGCAGAAATATATTAGTTGATAGGTCTTCCTGTGGTATTGATGTACTGACGTGTACTGTTTTCCTCGAAAAATAACGTGGGCTCAAATAAATATCAAAGAAAGCGGCGTACATAAAGTTAACATTAGAGACTTTTAGCATAACGTTCTTGCTAGCGCCGCAAGCCTCAAACTGCAATTCGACGCAAGGCGTTTTCCGTCAAACTTTTGACATGGGGCCACCCGGCCGTTGGCACGATGGGGTCACCACAGGTGTGTGATAATACGACACGGAAAATGTTCAATTTCTGGCTTGTGTCTTTGTAAGTAGAGTTACAGACGGTTTATCGTCTTTCTTTTTGTCAGAAAACGCTTCTTATAGGTCACGTAACCTGTGACGTCACGTTATCAGAGGGGTGGGTACCATAGTTGGCATACAGAGACTTTGGTAAGATAATTACGTCAAATAAAAGGTTTGTTTCAAAAACTGGCTATAGTGTTATCCTAGTAAATCATGTGATGTGACGTCATACACCTAAAATGGTCGAAGTGACTGACAAGTTTCTTAATCACAGCACCACACGCATTGCCGAGGAGAAACCAGGACAGGGGTCACCAGAGGTGTAGGGCCACCAAACCACAGACGTTGGTGGAATGTGCCTTACCCCTTCTCTAGCAAGGCGCCATAACGAAGTTGTTGCTGGAAGAGCCGCCATATTGAATGTCATTGATGCCGATTGTTTCTCCCTGTTTTGTTTTTTGTTTTGGCCTGATTCCAAGCGGTTAGCGGTAAACACGATGTTAAAGGTCTCTATTATTTTGACTTAGGGACTGCTCATAAAGTATAAGGGGGGGGGGTGGGGCAAAATCAGAATAGAATCAGTGTTTTTTTATCTTGGCCCATCATAAAATGATGCTGAAAATGGGATGACCCAACCCCAGTTTGGAAGCAAAATTATAAATGACCCACCCATGAAAAATAATCTAAATCCCAAAAGAATTTTCTTGGTTGCACACGTCTACCACTTATTGTAACATTGACTGTTTCGGCTTCTTCTTTCTCTGTCATCGTTTTCCTCACTATCAGTAATTCCTATTTCATGAGTAACAATGTCAGTTTCTTCGTCGCTATCCAAATCTTCAGTATCCTCATTAGTCTCCTCATATGAATTATCATCATGTTCAGCGTCTTCGCGTGAAGTACCATCTTGTTCATGTTCTTCCTCTGTTGTACTTGTCGTAGTATTTAAAAGCTGCATAGACAGCCCAGCATTTATTACTTGGACTTTCTCACTTTTGTACATTTCGCGCTTGAGCAAGTCGTGCTTTTTTTAAAAAGAGGTCCAAGACTGCAACCCTCTGCTTCTTAAGCATTCCGCT